GAACACCGTCTCTTAGTAAACAACTAAGTCTTTACACACGAGCTACTTCGTTTGTTATTATTCTAACGACAATATATGACGTGTAGTTCGACAGAACTCTGTATACATATACATATATGTTCAGACTGATATGTAAGATGATACTTTTTCCTCTGGCTTTCATAGTGGATACACAGTTAAGAAATGCAAATTCTGTTAGAGTCTCACTGTTTTATCGTATCCCTGTCATGACGATTATTTTATTATATTTATTATAATTTTTATCACTTCTAGAATAAATAATTATTGGTTTCCGATTGCTTAAAATACAAGCATCGTGTCATCAAGGAATTCCTTGCTTCGATTAATTTTTCATTATTTTTGGTTTTTATTAAACACTAATGTACAACAATCTTTGGTCATGTACGTATAGCAACAAGTATGGTCATACTCTTACCTTGAACCGCATTTCTCATAACTTTCTCATCATTTTCGGGAAAAATGACAATTACATTTTTCGTTCCTTAGGATGCGTAGAGTCATGCTGTAATTTTTCGTTCCGGCCGTATGCCAAAATTGACCGTTTTTTAACATCCTCCTTTGAGATGCTTTTTCAAAGCAAATGCTTTTAAGATCGATGAGTGTTGCATCTCGAGATCTAATTGACAAATTTACTGGAAATTTGGATCAAATATTCTTGGGTGCATTGTCTAACCTTTCACGATTTCGTTGTTTAACACTTCAATTTTGATTTTTATGTAATGGAACAAAAAGAATGATGTCAAGACGATGTCTTTCTCACGCAATTGACTCTTACTTTCTATTGAAACGCGGAGGAAAAAAGCGAAAATCATCAGGAACTTCTGTATTTCGTTTATCTTTAGAATAACTTCAACTTCTTATTCTCCTATAATGATTAACATTTTCTCAAGAAAAACAATCGACCAACAAATATATCTTTTACAGAGAAAAAGATTCGATTAAATTTACACCTGCAGCAAAGAAAAAAAAGAAATCCCAATGCTTAGACCCTATTTTTATCATCTGTAGGTAAATTTTAACCATCATTTTTCACTCTGAATCTCTAACTTATCAATCGAAGCGAAAAACGATCATTAAAAAAAAAAAAAAAACAGAAATTTCTCTATATTTAACTTTAGGTGTAAAATTAATCGAATTTTGAAAGAAAACTTTTAAACTAGTTGCTGATATTTGTTCGATCACTTACGAACGCGTTTCATTCGTCCTGTCTGAGAGCGCATTTACGGAAAACAGTGCAGGAAATCTGACACGGAGTCTCGCCTAAGCCACGGGACGCATTTTATGCGACCTAGTTCAGAGGCTGTCGTTCACTGTCCGGCCTTCGATATTATATCGAAAAGCGTGTGATCTTTTCTAACCAGCTCGCTGGTCATAGACTAGCGTTGTTCAAACTGCCACAACCAGCAAGCGGCACCCACTAAAATGGATCGCGTAAAAGCGTAAGGCTATTTCCAGGGTGGCCACTCTCCTTCCGCGGGAGTTTCATTTCTCCGCCGAGAAATGTGTCATGCTTGCGAAAGGAGCGGCCCTCTCTTTCTTCTAAGGGAGGCCGCTTTAAAAGACGGGATTAGCCGCGATCGGAAAAATCGTGCCGCTCGAAGAATCGAAGAAATCTATCCGTGGAATGATCTTAACCCCGGTATTAATCTCGGTGGAGAGTTTTCAATGGAATTCGATAATTCGGAAAAATCCTTCGAAATTTTCTGTAAGAAGATTGAATTAGGCGATACCCCGTGGCCTTTTATAGTTGAGAAATGGTATATAGTAGAAATCATCGGGTATCTCGGAAGCACTCGTAAACAGTTTTACGAGGAGAGGTCGCAGACGTGTATAAATAGTGAGTAGCAACGTTTAAAAAAAGACTATAATAGCGATGAATTATGACTATCATAACATGAAGTGGCATTTGAAAAAAAGACAGAAGTTGAAAAAAATGTATGTTCACTGTAAGATTGGACCTAATGAAATTTTACAGCTGTGTATAAGTAATGAGTAGTAGCATTTAAAAAAAGACTGTAACAGTGACGAATTATGACAAGTATTACATACTGTGGTATTTGAAAAAAGATAAAGGTTAAAAAATATGTGTCCACTGTAGGATTTGAACTAGTGCATTTTTAATTGCAAATTTAATACACTATTACCTTCTGCTACCATAACTGCAGCAATGTTAAGAAATTAGGTATGCGTTTAGTTCATTGAAAATTTCATTATTCTACTTATTTTCGCTCCAGATTCACTAGAAAATATTTAAATATTACAATCGATTTCCTCACAGCTACGACCTCTCCTTATTAGCTAGTACACAGTACACGTATCAGAAAATAATTTACTTCAGAGAAATTGAATTGTAAATGATTGGGATAAATGAATTTCTGATAAAAAGTGCATTCTATTACTTGCAGAATATTTAGTCTAATAGGCAATTAATTTGCTTACGAACTAAAAACCTGAATTATCTTCGAAACCAGCTAAGACTTCCTTGTTTCTTCCAACGAATGAAAATTGGAATTTCTTTCTAATTACAAATAACTATATTTGAATAGATTTTATTGATTAATCCAACGATTCGATACTTGAACCAGATACTTTCGCTAAAATTAATCGAACAGTTGCTCGCACGAGCGTCTACGAGATAACTACAACAATAGTAACTCCAAACCCGACCAAGATGCATTCAGATGCAGATAACAGCCATTCAGTTCGATCGAGAAACCATGTATTCCCAACCGCTACCATAATTGCTTCGATTCTGTTCGAAAGCTTCCAGTTCATTAAAGAATAAGACCCATTTCCTATCTATAGCCAGAAATTCTTCCCACGACTTTCTACCTGTGATTTCATCCTCCGTTGATATTCACGAAGCTAATGAATTTTCGTCGATTTATCGCCCCGCCTTCGTGTGTTCTCTGTCCTCGATAACAGGGCTATCAAGGAAAACCGATAGCTTATTGATTAATTCCTGCAGTGTCGGTGATCTATTGTTCGCGAACGGTCATTCTCTCGCCCCCTTAAGATTAAGCATATTTGAGAATTCCTTGAAAGTTTAGACACTTCGATTCCTCAGAGGTTTGAAAAATTTTGTTACTTATTTGTCACTTTGTATTGGATTTTCTCGTGCAAAGATACGCACAGGGTGTATCAAACTGGTACGTGGTTAATTTAAATTCGAAGTCTATCGTTTTCAGCGTAAGGGTGGAGCGTAGAAGTACTATGGAATTTTCTGACGCGCGGGAAACTTGATAGGAAGACGATTACAAGCTTGTATTCGTTTTAATAGCAAGATTCTAGGAATATAGCGCGCCAGTTTGTTGTGTAAGGAAGATTGTTCGAACACGAATCTGTGTGTAACTTGGAAACAAGATTTCTTCGGTAATTTTCTATTCCCAATTTGCCCGGTATACTAAAAAATGGAAAACTGAAATTTCTCACCTGGTTTGACCTAATATTGTGCAATATGTGATATTTAAAATATAGATCAAAATCATTCACGCAACGCTCTGTGATGGCCAACCTAATCCAAAGTCTGATTCATCCCTTGTTTTCTACACTTTCTCGCGTATTGCTCACCTGAATAGAGCGTTGCACCCTTAATATTAGTCATCAAACCTTCCAGCCTTAGACCACAATTTATGACCATATAATTTACACCATATTCATGATACCTCATAATTTATGAGGAAACCAATTAGTATTTTACTGTTAAGGCAGGATTCGCCCTCTACATTAGAGATTTTTTGAAAATTCTTCTCTATAATCACTCATGCAATTAACTAATATCAATCCAAAACATCATAGTAGATAATAACAGAGACGGATAAGTTGGTAAATTGGCCCTGAGCCAATAGGCACAACTCCTACTAAGGCAAAAATAATATATAAAAGAAAATCAGAAGATATTAGACAAGTATGAAACAGTCAAGCGTTCGCGATCACACACAAAGTCTTACCCAAAAATCCACATTCAGTCGAACATCAAAAGTCTCCCGAGAGTTAAATCAGACTGTAATTCGACCAAGACTTCGACCAAGAGTCCCACTTCAATTAGGTTATCGTGACTAATTTCTCGGGAGCCAGCGTTTCGCGGACAAACGTAAGCGGAATTCGGTACAAAGAACAGCGATGCACTGGACGCAACGACTGTCACATAAACGATCCATGGATCACGGAAGAACGGTTCGGTATTCACCTGTTTGCCAAGCCCGAGAACCACGAGGAGAACGTAACTGTTGAGGAGAAGACCCAGAGCAGAAACGAGGACGAGAGGCACGCCAAAGGCCCAAGGGACCATTCCTCTTTCTCCCGCGTGGTTTGGCCGCCTTCGAAGATGTTGGACCCCGAAAAATGGAAGCGGAACTGTACCGATGATCCTCTTTATTGCTCACGTGCCGTATCCCTGTCTCTTGATCCACGACGTCATCAGGATGGACGCACCTGAAACATCTGCCACGTATCGATCAGCCCTTCGAAATAACCGAACTAAATCGTGTTAATGTCACCTGTGACTCGTGCATGTTTCAAACTTGAACTACGATGATTCGGTTAGCGGCGCTGGCTAACCTAGTTATCATGCAGGATATAATAATTTCGGCAGGAAAGACGGGGACGGACATTGCACGGGACATTATGGAACGATGTTGCGAACGAGTATCGACTTTTTGGGCTAATTTCGGGGCTTGATGGCAATTACTCCCGCGGTTGGTTTAATGTCGGTACTGTGATTGCGCTTTGCTCGCGCTACCTTTTGCAGAGCTTGAAATAATTCCCGTTTCGTCCAACTTTCGTCGTATTGATCGTAACGAGGTTTTTGCGGAAACCGTCATTCATTAGCCGAATGACTGTGAAGGATAAAGGATTCTAAATGTACCGTGGATAAATGTGTAGACAGTTGTATGCAAAGGCTGGAAATAATTGAAATAATACACGTTTTATGCAACTTTGATCGTATCGATGAAGGAATGATTGATTATAATGAGGTTTTTGGCGAAAGATGTCATTCATGAACCAAATGATTCGCCTTAGTATTGTATCTAGTGTTTTTATTTATCATTTGTTCCTGTGATTATAAAAATGGTCTAATTCGTATATTTTTCATTTCGAGTTATTTACACTTTTTTAATATATCTTTCTTTTTAATACCTTTTCAGAAAGAACACACACTGTAAAAAAATATATATTATTGGTATAAGCTGTTACAATCTAATCCTATATTTTGACTACCAGTTCCATTTAATGGTTCAATTTCCGATTATTTCGCAGAAACGGTTCTAAATTACAGTCATGTAAATCGATGTAGCATGAAATAAGTAATAATGTCAATTCTTTTAGATTCTTTACTTAGACCACTTTCATAATCACCGGAATATTTATTAGCGGTGTAATCTTTCAATTTCGTATGATGAATACCAAGCAGTAGTTTGTCCTTCCAAGGATTCTTCATTTTCAAAAATTAAGTATATTGTACTAGCTTTAACCCAAACAAGGTAATTACTAAAATTGCTATTTAATTGCATACTCGAGAAATTTAATTTCCTCTGGTGGAAAAATTTCAGAAAAATTCAGTTTGAGAAATTGCTTCTTGTGGTAAAATCTGAGAAAAGTTCCTTTTGAAAATTTTCGTGAGACAAGAATGTAAGTTGAATTTTTGGCTGATTAGTGAACTCAGTTGACAGATTAAGAAAAAATGACTCCTTCTCGTGGAAAAATTTAAGAAAAATCCCTTTCGTCAAATTGCTTCTTGTGGAAAAATCTGAGAAGAACTCCTTTGAGAGATTGCTTTTTGTGGAAAAATCTGAGAAATGTTCCTTTCGAAAATTTCCTTATTCCGTATTCCTTACTTTCCGTATTCAGAAGGAATGTTAAACAGATAGGAGGACGGGTTTTACAATTTTTACCGTCGTCTTGCCACGATATGGTATCGATTCATGAACGAGGCATCGGTTTGGTCAAGGCCATTACATCAGAACACGAAAGGTCATCTGTTGTGAGGCGAGGTTCTCGATTCGCCGCCAAATATGTCAATTAACGATGCCCGTTACCGCAGAGATATATTGAATAATACATCAGTCAATGCAGAAACGAATATAGTAACGATCCACTTCCGATTAACATGGAATATTGCATGCTAATTCGAGCCATTAATCGAATGGAATAAGAAATGTTCAACATCGTGCTATCAATTTCGATATTCTCGATACGATCGCTAATAAAACAAAAGAAAAAAGTGAATCGTCGTATCGATACGAAATATCAGTTCCAAGCAAAGAGAATCAAAGTTTAGATGACAAAACAAGAGGTGAATCTGTTGATTGGAAAGCACGACTGCTCTCCTTTGGGATTCAAGATCGGGAGAAGGAATTGTTCACTTCTGATTGTAGCGTGATTACTTTCTCTGTCTTTGGGGATTGAAAGCCTCGAAGTTAAGAGTTTGTCAAATTTAATAAAAAGCAAAAAGGCAAAATTCGTCTGGACGAAATTTGAAATTCGCTTCAGAATTCAGATTTGATTAATACACGTGAAAAATTCAGTTTGTCGATTTCTGTAAATTTAGTTTGAAATTTCGTATCGAGTGTACAGAAATTTTCTCAGCAATTTAAATTTGTATTTATAGATGTTTATTTTCCCTTTAATTTCTTCTCGCCGTCAAAATGTCAATATTCGTGTCCTGATGGTAACACGGATTAAAAATAGTCACTAATGACGGTTTATCAAAGCTGAAGAGTAACAAGCTTTAAGACTGTCAAAGCAGGAACAGAGGAGCTTACGAATAACATAGTACAAACACGGTCGATCTGCGGTGCGATAAGTGCTGTGAGTGAAATTAGAAGTGACGGCTCAAGGTAATTCCAAATGCTTGCTAATCCATTGTCTCCTCGCTGTGCGACGTGAATAGGATACATGTGCGACAAATCTTGTCAATGAAAGTCACTGTTGTACTTTTTACGACACTCAAATACACTTCGAAACTTGAAAACCACTCAACAACTCAAGATTTTGCCATTTTTTTCAAATATCAATAATTCGAGAAAATATTGAAAAATTGGTTCTCTAGGGCAAAGTAGTTTTTATAGATTAGATCGTGGATTGTTGCAAGTGTAATTCTTCCATAAGTATAAACTTTCATCTTGGATAATTTCTAAACTTAGAACCACTCAACTGTCACGTATGCAAATTTTGTCAAATCTCAAATATCAAAATTTTGGCATTTTGTCAAATATCGATAATTCACCAAAATATTCACAAATTAGTTTTCTGGGGTAAATTCAGGCAAATTAGTTTGTAAAGATTAGATCCATGGGTCGTTACAGGTATTTGCAATCTGCGAAAAAATTTGGCCTCAGAATTGATTGGACGTTCCAATAGGGTAACGATCCTAAACATATAGCACAAATTGCGAAAGAATGGTTGTGCTGTATAATGTTCCACATCAATTAAATTCCCTCCCACGATTTCCGGATTTAAATCCCACTGGGCACATTTAGGAAGAAATACACTGACGTTTAAAAAATTGTAAAATATCGAGTATGAAACCTTTGGGAAGGGCTGTGGAAAATATTTCGAGTAGTATTTCCACAATTATCGTGCAAAATTGAATTTTATCTATGAGAAGAAGATTACAGGAACAACTAAATATTAATATTATTCGTAACATTAAATTTTACGGACTATAACGGTGCATAAGTTACTTATACTAA